CAATGTCATACTACCAGGCCCGGCCCTGTCAAATTACAGACCTGGAGCGAAGCTACAAGCGATGGGCCCTTTAATACAATTCTAATAATATAATGACAATTCTAACAAGTGTAATGCATAAAAAAATTCTTATGAAACAAGTCATACATCTTATCTTACCTTAAAAATTTCTTCGAACATTTGCTGCTGCAAAGTCATTGATGATGGCCTCAATATCAATTTCATCTAACAATTTCTTCTCGATGCATAAAGTTGCCAAACCATTTAATTTTTCTTGGGACATTACGGATCTCAAATAATTCTTCAATAGTTTCAGCTTTGAAAAGGTTCTTTCAGCTGATGCTACAGTCACAGGCATAGTGAATAGGATTCGATAAGCAATGAAAACATTAGGATAACAATCTGCTTCCGTGATAAACTCAAAAATCTCCATAGCAGACATTGGCTTATCTGGCAGAGTAGACTGCATAACAGCTAACTCAGAAATCATATCATTTACATCAACATCCGACGAACCACCAGAAGAGATTTTTTTTGCAAATTTAATGCAATGGTCTTTTAGAGCAACACCATCCAATGCCTTCAAGGATGTTGAATTCATTAGAAATCCAAATTTTTCATCGAATGACTGGAGTTCTTTAAATCTGCTTTTCAATGAACTAATTGCCATATCAACCATAACCAAAAAATAAAAAGCTTCAAAATCATTCTCAGCTTGCAAAATAGCTTCATTGCATTTAGTTTCATCAAACTATTTCTTCCTAATAGAACGACGCTTTACTGGAAATGATGGCTCTACTCCCATTTCAAGTGCAATTTCTGTGGCAGTAACCACACTATCAGCAAACCCAGTATTTCTATAGTTCTGAAAGTAATTCACCATACCTTCTATATGCTGCAAGGTAGAATCAATGCACATGGATGGTGACTGCAACTTCTTACTAACAATATTTACAGAGTATAAAATGTCATGCCAAATAACCATACCAAGTATGAACTCAAAGCTGCCAAGCACGTCATATAAATTTTCTGCATCACTTCTATCCTTTGGTTCAGTATCTCCATCCTCACTTAGCCACAACTAAGCTGACCTTAGTTGAGGAGCTTGATATCTAATTGCTCGAACACTTTTGATGCGACTCTCCCAACGAGTATTGCTCAATGATTTTACAGTCAAATCTGGAACATGTTCAAGCAAAACATTCCATCTTTTGGTAGAACCAGAAAATAATACATATATCCTCTGCACAATTCCAAAGAATGAAATAGCTTTACTGCATGATTTAGCCATATCACAAAGAGTGAGATTAAGACTGTGGCATGCACATGGCATATAAAAAGCTCTTGGATTTATTTCAAGCAAACGGCTTTGTACCCCCTTATGTTTTCCTTTCATATTAGAGCCATTGTCATAACCTTGACCTCTAATATCATCAACATTAAGACCAAATGATTTCATGGAGTCAACCAATACATTGAAAAGCCCCAAGCCAGATGTGTCATCCACCTTCAAGAAACCAAGAAAGTACTCCCCAATTTTTATTTTCCCATTAGACATATCAACACATCGAACCAGCAAACTCATTTGTTCTTGGTGACTCACATCTGGGGTACAATCAAGGATAACTGAGAAATATTTGGCCTCTTTAACAATCTTTATGATGGAGTTTGTAATTCTAGAAGCCATAAGCGAAATCAACTCATTCTGAATTTTATGACTAAGATAATGATATTGCAGCTCTTTGTTTTGAATGCGTCTAAGGTGGTCTTGCATTACCAAGTCAAATTCAGCAACCATCTCACAACAAGCTAAGAAATTACCATTCACATCATTGTAAAGTTGCTCACTAGATCCTCTAAAAGCTAAACTGCGTTTACCAAGAAACTTCACAATGGCAACAATTCTTAGTAGAACTAGCCTTATGCGTTCTTTCTCCTTTGTGATTGATGTTGCAACTCTTTATCAATTATTTCATGTTTGCTTAATCTAACTCTCAATTCATTCCAAGAGTTCATATTGGTCATATGATCCACACTAACTTCATGCTCTTTTAGTCTCTCACTAACATGGCTCCAATCTCTAAACCCATCATGCCCCCAATGAACTCTTGAAGTTGCTAGAACCAAACAACTTACAACAGAAGCAAAACACTTTGTCAACACTTTTTGAATAGACCAACCATTTCCTGTCACGTACCTCTCCATTGCTCATTCTTCTAGAATAATGAGTGTATGCAAAATGTCTTGATCTCTCATCCATAGGAAACACAATCTTTTATTCTCTTATAGGCCCCTTCTCCACTAATATGTTCCTTGATTTGTTATCAAGATTACCCCAATTTACTGGATCATACATATCAATAGTAAAAACTGGTTCTTCATCGACATGAGTAGATTCCATCGTAGGAGAACTAAATATGGGCTCATGATCACTCACGTTATTATCATCCGTGTCGATGCCAACATTATCTTCTACAGGGCCTTCATCTTCTTCTTCTGGATGTGTAGTTTGTTCCTCCACAGGAACTATTGCCCACTCATCTGGATTTGTTGTAGTGCTTGTATTGCTCTTAAAAAATTTGTCAAGAGCTCCTCTTTGTGATTCTTTGAATTCCTCTATCCTTTTCTTCTTTTTTCTTTTCTCACTTCCAGATGCATGCTTTTTGGGCAGCATGAGTTCACTGTAAGTTTAGAAAAGTAGTAAGAAATTATTAAATAAAATTATGCCATACTAAATTTAACATGATCGCTGCATCATATGGGGTTCCTAAATCCAAAACCTAAATTAGTCGAGAATAAAGATTGGAGACATTGAGACAAGAGCAGTTTCGTACCTACCAAGACAACCCTGCCGAGCAGATCAGGGCAGGAAGTCAGGAACAATCGAACAGAGATGTAGGCATGACACACTCCCACAGGATCGCCGTCGCCGACGACCACTCCGATCGCTCTCGTTCGCAGCCTCGGCCTCGCGCAGGAAGGAAAGAAGTCGGCAAGTCACGGCCGCGCGGCTGCGTCGCAAGGGCACGCCCACGATGTCGCCTTGTGCGGAAGCTGAATCAAACTCACGTCTCAATGCTAGGCTTGTTTGCTTCTTTGCCTTTTGGGTTGTGTATACTAGTATATACTATACCTACTAATATACTAGGGGTTGGGCCCCCTGGCCTCAAGGGCCCAGTTCGGCCGCTCCTCTTGCAACCCCCCGGCCGGGCCTGCATACTACTTGTGCGTGTTGCGTAGAGTCAGAGAGTATACTTGTGTACGGGAGTTAATATAACTTCTTCCATTTTCTGTTGGCACATGCAGTCCTAATCCCAATTAAAATTGGTGTGGTACCATATAGAAAACGGTAATACTTCCTTAGGGCGTCCGGACGGACGGACGGATCGACCCGCCGCCGCTCAACTGTGCTGCGCGCCACACGCCCCCGCTCGCGCCGCCCGCCCGCATCACGCGCCCCCGCCGCACTCCACCTCGCTGCGTCCGCCTTCCCCACTCGCAACCGCGCCTTGCCCAATCATGTCCACGACCATGCCCGTAGCGGCCACCGCAGCCTGATTGGGCCTTCGACATGTGCAGCAAGAGATCTGGTGGTGGCGGGGGCTATGTGTCCTACGTGGAGCCCAAGATACCGGCGGCCACGAAGGGGTCCCCGCCGGCCTTGCGGTAGGCGGAGTCGATCTAGATGATGGCGGCACTAATCGATGGCGGTGATGTCGCAGCTGCCTTCGGTGAAGTCCACACACCAACGAGCATCCGTTCTCCCAAGCAACTAGGAGGTGTTGCGCTGAAAGTGCATGTTGCAAGCGTATTTTCAATTGTTTCAGATGTTTCGGAGGTATGTTGCAAGTGTTTCATATGGATTTTGCAAAAGTAGATCGAGATGTTGCATATGTTGCAACGGCTATATGCGTATGTTGCAAGCATCTGCTCCAAATGTTTCATCTGTTTTTTCAAACGTACGTTGCGAGTGTGTTCATCTAGATGTTGCATATGTTTCACACATATGTTGCAAGTGTTTCATCTGTATGTTACATATGTTTTGCAATGGTTTTTTTCAAGTGTTTTTGGGTGTCTTTACAAGTATTTCAGACAAATGTTCCAGGTGTTTCATTGTTTTCAGACGTATGTTGCAAATGTTTTATCTACATGTTTCAAAAGTAGATCGGATGTTGCACAAGTTGCAATGTACCCACCTGCCGCAGCCACCTACCGCAATTGCGTGAGAAGTGGAGGGGGCGCGAGCAGTCCCCACGCGGTTTGGCAATGCAGGCGACGTCTGGGTGGCGCGGGCCCTGCGTGTTCGCGTGAAAATGCAGGCACGGGGCACGGTGTTGTTGGTGCGAACTGCAGGCGCGCACGGGAAATGGAGTGTAGGCGCGGGTTTCTAGACACGTCAGGGCGCTAGCACTACCAAAGTCCAAAGCCGAAAAGATATAGGTCAAGTTCCATCATCGCGCCAATGCAATTGTTAAAGATGAATGAATGAATCAATCATAATGTAAAAGAAGGGAGGCGCTGTCCGGTTTAACTTTTTCTGCTTTACCAAATTAATGGAAGAAGCCATCATCACTTGGTATATAGGTCTGCTACTCTCTTTCTCGTATATATACACCTGACAAGGACTTGATGCTCTGGTTTGGTGTCTAACAATATTTGCAGCTAGCACAGCATACTGTTCTAACAAGACACAGCTATAGGCTTATACAGTTTGACTACAAGTACGTCAGAGAAGCGAGAGAATCCAAGCCATGGGGATGGAGGCGAAGAAGCCTTATCTGATCGCCATCGTCATACAGCTTATCTACGCCGGCAAGTTCGTCGTCTCCAAGGCAGCCTTCGACCTTGGCATCAACACCTTCGTCTTCATCTTCTACAGAATGGCCGCCGCGTCGCTCCTCCTTCTGCCTGTCGCCATTATCCTCGAAAGGTAAGCAGTAGAATTAAGGATTAGCAAATTGTTTTCGATGGATTATTAGACATATACTATGTGAATACAGGAATAATGTGCGGTCCATGTCCCTGGGGCTGCTTCTTAAGCTCTTCTTCTATGCCTTGATCGGGTATATATTATATATATGCATCGTCAGAAGTTGTTTTTATTGAATGTCAATCTTCAGAAGTTCAGATTCAGATTCAGATGTGTATGCCCATGCATGCATGGTTGACTTGCAGGAACACATTCAGCTTGAACCTGTACAACGTGAGCATGAAGTGGACATCGGCGACCGTGGCATCCGCGTCCAGCAACTCCATGCCCGTCATCACCTTCTGCCTGGCGCTGCTCCTGAGGATGGAGGCGGTGAAGCCGAGGAGCATCTCAGGCATGGCCAAGCTCGCCGGCGTCGCGCTCTGCGTCGCCGGAGTCTTCGTCCTCGCCTTCTACGCCGGGCCGGCGCTGAGCCCCGTGAATCGCCACCGTGCCTTCGCTGTCGCCCACGCATCGAACACCAGCAATCATCCCAGCAGCAGGATGACGTGGGTGAAAGGAACGTTCTTCATGGTCCTCGCCAACGTCACGTGGGCCCTCTGGATCGTCCTGCAGGTACAACAAACGTATCTCCGATTCCTTCCCTACTAGAGTATGATCATAATAGTGACATATATGTTGCTAGTGAGATTTGGGGTATGATTATATTTGAACATCATTTAATTTTCAGCTAATGAAGAATACAACTTTGTTTTCGTATTATTAGCATGTGCATTGACACCTACTCAGGCAAAACCACAACTTCCATCTTGGTAGTTGGCACTTTGTTCAGCTTATCCTATTTCACAATCACAAGGCAGTGGCCTCCATATATCTGCTTCTTTCATCCCTTTCCACATGATGGAGCAATGGAGAGAGCAAGTTACTATTTGGTATCTTCAGAGATATATAAATCATATGTTGTTAGGTTTGTATCCGTGCAGTCCGCATTGCTGAAAGAGTACCCCAATAAGATGCTTGTGACGGTGACACAGTGCGTGTTCAGAACCCTGCAGTCAATCGTTGTAGCAGTGGTGGCTGAGAGGGACTTCTCCAAGTGGAAGCTCCGATTTGACATTAGCTTGCTAGCCATCGTTTACACGGTAATACACATAATTAATTTAGTTTTTTGTGTGTGCTTTAATTCTGTTTCTTACTACTATTTAATTACTAGGATCAATTAAGGAAGGTTATTGGCCCCGGCTGAAAATTATAAATGTAGCCAAGCTCCACCACTGCTTACACTACATTAGAGATTATTGCTAATAATGAATTGCTTAATTTCCCTGCTGCATGGACGTACGGATGGACCATCATCAAACTGATTGTGTTGGTGACAGGGGTTTGTGGTAACCGGAGTGTCCTACTATCTTCAGGCATGGTGTATGGAGATGAAAGGCCCAGTCTTTCTAGCAATGTCCAACCCGCTCTGCTTCGTCTTCACCATATTCTGCTCCTCCTTCTTTCTAGGGGAGATTGTTCACCTTGGCAGGTAATTGACTGGATTAGGTAATTAGCATGTATACATTGGTGTTTCAATCAATTTTCATTTCATATATTTTCCCATTATTTGTCCTTGTATGGCAGCATCGTGGGTGGAGCTCTGCTGGTTGCAGGGCTTTACAGTGTGCTGTGGGGTAAAAGCAGGGAAGCCATGGAGTCTGAGCAGGAGGGAAAGGAAGAGCAGAAGGACGCAGCCAAAGCATCATCCGTGGTTGAACAAGCGTGATTATCGATGCTACCTCTGAGAAGATATTGCATATAAGTTAAGTTTATAACTACCTCAGAACCTGAGCTCGCTAATTGAATTGAATTCTCATAATAGTTGTCGATGAAGAAGAAAAAGCTTCGGATTATTTCCTAGCATTGTTCATTGTCGTTATAAGATCTTGGCAATTGCTAGAAGAGATGTTCATGGGTCATATATATATATATATATATATATATATATATATATATATATATATATATATATATATATATATATATATATATATATATATATATATATATATCATGACCTTTGACAAGAATTATTCATGGGGATGCTGGTGGGATCCTACTGTCTTTCTAGCAATTGCCACCCTTCGAGATTCCCTTACTATTTTTTTTTCAAATGCAAACTACCTCCACGTACTAAATTAATTAACTAATTATTGTGCTTTCAATTCCAGCTACATCTCAAGCACGTTCTAGACTGATTTTATGATTCAAAAACTATTTGAAAGGAACACACAATTTGTTAACGTGGAACAAGACTTTATACATGATGAACAAGAAAATTGTACACCTAAAAGAAATCATGCAACTTAGGTGTACAAAACTAGCTATAAACAGAAGGAACAAAATGTTTATAGACACACACCCAGGCTACCATCGTTGAGCGGGGAGAAGGCAAATTGGGTTAAACACCAGCTCACCAGCTTGCTAGTTTTTAAGGATATACAAAACATGCAACACGAAACAACACCGTGCACTGTGTCACCACTACAAGCATCCTATTCGGGTAATCTTGGGTACACCAAACACAAAACATGCAACACAATTGGATGTAAGAAGCAAAAAAAAATGTACACCCAAACAAATCACATAATTCTGGTTATGATTAGTGGGCTTCACTTTGGAACGAAGAAGCATGGGCCAAAATACCAAGCTGGCTTGCTCCGGGCCTGGCCAAGCAGTCAAACCCACTAATCATGGGGCCAAGGCTTGGCTGGCCCGTGGCCACAAGCTCGCAATGCGCTGTTTCACAAAACAAAAACAAAAAGGCTCACAGTGCGCTGAGTGGCAAGATTTCGTGGGAAACATAGTCAATTGTTCTTGTAACCTCTATTTGGAAAAAAAACCAACAATCGTTGAAGTGTGCTTCTAAAATAATCATCTATTACTTCCTAGGAGGTAATATGTATTTATTTAATTTTTAATTTTGTAAAATAGGGTAAATAAGGAGAGTTTAGATATAAAGATTTTTTTATATATAACTAATGCATATGTGATCTATTAGATATGGTAAATTCTTCTTATTTTCTGCAACTTTGGATATGTCATAATTTAATTAGCCTAAACTATATGCATGTAATCCATGCTGCATGTATGTGCTTAACGTATGTACGTGTTTGTACTCATCAACGTACATGTCCAATGTACATGCCTAACTTACAAGAAACTTTATGTGCGTATATAATTTTACATGGCCATTTTACATGTTGAATGTACGTGACAGCTACGTATTTTATTTGAAAATCCTCTTAATTATATAACATAGTTTTAATGAAATTAGTATAATGTACATAGTTTTAATCAAATTAGTACAATGTACACATTTGGAAGCCGTAATAAAAAAAATAGCAGATATAGCACCTTGTCGGCAATCCAGAGGCCGATAGGAGCCATGTAGGCATCTCAGGCGAGCGCGGGGCACCTGCTGCTGCTCAAGCTGTGGCAGCGGGAGGAGGACCGCCTGGGCCGCCGCGCGTGCGCGCTCGAGGCTCGCATGGACGACTTCTACCTCTGCGCAGCCTTCCTCGCCTTCCACGGCCTCTCCCTCACGCTCCTCTTCGCCGCGTCCGTGGCCGCCTCCGCCTCCGCCGCGTGCAGGAGGTGGTGGGCGCCGTCGTCCGTGTCCCTGGCGGCGGCGCTCGCGCTCGCCCCGGCCGTGCAGCTACGGGTGTGCGCCTACTGGCGCGCGCGCTCGCGCGGGCAGTGCAGGAGCTCCGCTTGAAGGGCGCCGCGTTCGACCTGTCCAAGGAGCCGCAGTACGGGGTGACGAGGGCCAAGTGCGCCAGCGTGGAGGGCGCGGGCGCGTGGGCACCGCTCCGGTGGTGTCGGCAGAACGTCATCACACTCTGCCTCCTCGCCGTCGCCGCCGCCGCCTTGCCCTGCCCTCCGGCAAGTTCATCCTCTGCACCTAGGATGGATGGAGGTTATATAGCGTTGTGTGAGTTCTGAATCAACTCAATTTCTCGTTGTTTTTCCACCTTGCTCTTGGCTTATTTCGGGTCATGTTTTCATCAAACTCTAACGAAATTCCACGATGTTTCCCACCTTGCTGTGGTTTTCTTGCAATTGGTAGTACAACACATTTGGAATTCAAACGTTGTTGTTGACGCAGGTTTATTCTTGCTTGCTTGCAGGGCGCCAGCTTCTTTAGCTGATCTGCAGAACCAAAAATGGGGGACTGTTCGCCGCGCAGGGAAAGAGAGTAGCAGACCTATATATTTGGAAGAAGCCATCACCTGACAAGGACTTGATGCTCTGGTTTTGTGTCTAACAATATTTGCAGCTAGCACAGCGTACTGTTCTAACAAGACACAGCTATAGGCCTATATAGTTTGACTACAAGTACGTCTGAGAAGCGAGAGAATCCAAGCCATGGGGATGGTGGCGAAGAAGCCTTATCTGATCGCCATCGTCATACAGCTTATCTACGCCGGCATGTTCGTCGTCTCCAAGGCAGCCTTCGACCTTGGCATCAACACCTTCGTCTTCATCTCCATTATCCTCGAAAGGTAAGCAGTAGAATTAAGGATTAGCAAATTGTTTTGGATGGATTATTAGACATATACTATGTGAATACAGGAAGAATGTGCGGTCCATGTCCCTGGGGCTGCTTCTTAAGCTCTTCTTCTATGCCTTGATCGGGTATATATTATATATATGCATCTTCAGAAGTTGTTTTTATTGAATGTCAATCTTCAGAAGTTCAGATTCAGATTCAGATTCAGATGTGTATGCCCATGCATGCATGGTTGACTTGCAGGAACACATTCAGCTTGAACCTGTACAACGTGAGCATGAAGTGGACATCGGCGACCGTGGCATCCGCGTCCAGCAACTCCATGCCCGTCATCACCTTCTGCCTGGCGCTGCTCCTGAGGATGGAGGCGGTGAAGCCGAGGAGCATTTCAGGCATGGCCAAGCTCGCCGGCGTCGCGCTCTGCGTCGCCGGAGTCTTCGTCCTCGCCTTCTACGCCGGGCCGGCGCTGAGCCCCGTGAATCGCCACCGTGCCTTCGCTGTCGCCCACGCATCGAACACCAGCAATCATCCCAGCAGCAGGATGACGTGGGTGAAAGGAACGTTCTTCATGGTCCTCGCCAACGTCACGTGGGCCCTCTGGATCGTCCTGCAGGTACAACAAACGTATCTCCGATTCCTTCCCTACTAGAGTATGATCATAATAGTGACATATATATTGCTAGTGAGATTTGGGGTATGATTATATTTGAACATCATTTAATTTTCAGCTAATGAAGAATACAACTTTGTTTTCGTATTATTAGCATGTGCATTGACACACCTACTCAGGCAAAACCACAACTTCCATCTTGGTAGTTGGCACTTTGTTCAGCTTATCCTATTTCACAATCACAAGGCAGTGGCCTCCATATATCTGCTTCTTTCATCCCTTTCCACATGATGGAGCAATGGAGAGAGCAAGTTACTATTTGGTATCTTCAGAGATATATAAATCATATGTTGTTAGGTTTGTATCCGTGCAGTCCGCATTGCTGAAAGAGTACCCCAATAAGATGCTTGTGACGGTGACACAGTGCGTGTTCAGCACCGTGCAGTCATTCGTTGTAGCAGTGGTGGCTGAGAGGGACTTCTCCAAGTGGAAGCTCCGATTTGACATTAGCTTGCTAGCCATCATTTACACGGTAATACACATAATTAATTTAGTTTTTTTTTGTGTGCTTTAATTCTGTTTCTTACTACTATTTAATTACTAGGATCAATTAAGGAAGGTTATTGGCCCCGGCTGAAAATTATAAATGTAGCCAAGCTCCACCACTGCTTACACTACATTAGAGATTATTGCTAATAATGAATTGCTTAATTTCCCTGCTGCATGGACGTACGGATGGACCATCATCAAACTGAATGTGTTGGTGACAGGGGTTTGTGGTAACCGGAGTGTCCTACTATCTTCGGGCATGGTGTATGGAGATGAAAGGCCCAGTCTTTCTAGCAATGTCCAACCCGCTCTGCTTCGTCTTCACCATATTCTGCTCCTCCTTTCTAGGAGAGATTGTTCACCTTGGCAGGTAATTGATTGGATTAGGTAATTAGCATGTATACATTGGTGTTTCAATGAATTTTCATTTCATATATTTTCCCATTATTTGTCCTTGTATGGCAGCATCGTGGGTGGAGCTCTGCTGGTTGCAGGGCTTTACAGTGTGCTGTGGGGTAAAAGCAGGGAAGCCATGGAGTCTGAGGAGGAGGGAAAGGAAGAGCAGAAGGACGCAGCCAAAGCATCGTCCGTGGTTGAACAAGCGTGATTATCGATGCTACCTCTAAGAAGATATTGCATATAAGTTAAGTTTATAACTATCTGAGAACCTGAGCTCGCTAATTGAATCGAATTCTCGTAATAGTTGTCGATGAAGAAGAAAAAGCTTCAGATTATTTCCTAGCATTGTTCATTGTCGTTATAAGATCTTGGCAATTGCTAGAAGAGATGTTCATTATATATATATATATATATATATATATATATATATATATATATATATATATATATATATATATATATATATATATATATATATATATATATCAAGACCTTTGACAAGAATTATTCATGGGGATGCTGGTGGGATCCTACTGTCTTTCTAGCGATTGCCACTCTTCGACATTCCCTTACTATTTCTTTTTCAAATGCAAACTACATCCACATACTAAATTAATTAACTAATTATTGTGCTTTCAATTCCAGCTACATCTCA